CCCCTGAGGGCTCACTTCAGGGATCTGGGGAGAGTTAGGCTAGAGGTTAAGAGGCCTGGAGGGTATGAGGCAGCTGCTTTGAAAGGGGATTGTTAGACTGACTGTATTACTCCACGGAGCAGAGCTATGACCAACAAACAGAAACGCTAAAGTAGGCTTGACTCCTAATAGAATCATTCTCTAAAAGGTATGATAAGTCCTGTCTACTTCGGAGTAGGTCCATGTCACATAAGTGTGTAAGCCCTAACTAGATGGCCCTCTGTAAGGAAAGTTCCAGAAGGAATTCCTATACTGGATGGTGGATGGCACCATCCTGGCTTCCTACCCTTCCTGCTCCCTGTGGAGTGACTGTGGCCCACTCTCAAGTGCAGACAACCCACCCTGCTCTCTGTTGTCTAAATCCAGCTGCTCACACACTGGCTACCGCCCAGCTTCTGGAGGCAGTTGAATTTCCATAATCTGTAATGTCACAGAATTTTCTACCATTGGGAGACAGAAGAGAGGGGAACTTGGCAAAGAAATAGGTAAAGCAGAACAGTAAAGAAAAGATGAAGATGGTAAACCCCAAAGAGTCTGATTGAACCATTTCTTTGGCTCGACACAATTCGAGCGTACATCGCACCCCTAAGGCTCCTGTTCTGTTCCCCTGCCCTCATTTATATTGCAATCCCATAGGCTTTTCCCCCGAGCCTCATAACTCAGACTAAGTTATGTGGAAAACTAGCCTGTAGGATTCAGGAGCTCTTATTACCAACCCAGTTTCCACAAGCGGCTTTCCCATTGCTTTTTTCCTGCAAGACTGAGCCATCCGAGATTGGCAAGGCCCTCGCTCCTCCTTGTGGTGGTTGGTGTAAGGCTGCCACCTGGTGATTGTTCGGACAAAGTGCCTGAGGCATGTCTCCTCCCAAGCAGAAATGTTTCCAAAGGTGAATGGGTCCTTCCCAGGTAGGATCCACCAATCTGAGGAAAGTAAAATCTAGTTAATACTACTATTACTAATTATGCTCACTAATGAAATGGAATGATATTAATAGTGATTGAGTTCTAGTAAATATTAAGATGCTCTGCAGCAAAAATATATGTGCGTGTGTGTATATATATATACGTATACGTTTTATGTCATTTTACCATATGCATAAATATCCGTGTATATATTATTGGATGTGATCCCATCGCAACCCCACTAGTAAAATACGATTACCATATTCATTCTTTTCCCCATGAGGAAACAGGCTCAGCGAGCATAGTGACAGGTCCAAGATCGCACAGCCAGGAGGAAGGAGGGACTGAAGCTGAACTCAGCAGATCCAGCTCCAGGTTTTCAAGATGACAGTTATGGAGCCTACCTGGATCTCAGGAGCTTACTGCATAGAGAAGTTATGGGATTGCCATGAGAGGGAACCAGCAGCTTAAGGAGCAGGACAAACTCATGCAGGGGTGGGCAGTTCTTTGGAACAGGACCCACCCAGCAGGGGAGGGTTTGAATAACAAGATCTATCAGGGAAAAGGACTGGTAGGCACAAGGTGGGAAGCCAAGGCCCCAGTCTAGTGGAATCATAAAGAGCTATGGCTCCTTGGACATAGTAAGTGTATAGGGAAAATCCCACGGGAGGTGAGGATGCTTCTAAAGTTCTCCCAGTCTTGGGCTCATTTCAGGAACTGGGTTGGGTTGGCCTGGGGGTGCTGGTCCTACTTGCATGACTCTTGCCAGATGCCAACTTACCTTCCCCAAAGTCAAGACCCATCTGAGTACTCTGTCCTGCCAATGCTCTGTGAATTAGGAGGTTTTGGAAGCTGACGGTGGGAACATGCATTGTTCCAGGTCTGGGGCAGTGTTGGGCATTGAATCTTTGAATCCTTTCCAATGCTTCTTTCCACAGTCTTCTGAGTTTCCTTGCATGCATGGCTGATCAGTATTTGGCTGAAGACTCAAGAGGGACCCTCGAGTTCTCTCTTTGTGCAGCTCTCTCCCTTCTCCCACCCAACTCTGTGGACTCCAGCTGGCTCAGGTTCTCCAGACTCAGTTCTGTCTCCTCAACCCAGGGAGTCTGCCAGGGTCTGCCTGCCTCACTCTTCCTGCAGCCTGGACTCTGAACTCTCTCAAGGCAGGAGGCTGGGTCATTGTAGGGCTCCTGTGATTTTTTTCCTGCCTGTCAGGTTCTGCCATCTTTAATCACCCGATGTCCATTTTCTTGAAACCATGTTTTCATATACTTTGTCCAATTTTTTAATTATTTCAGGAGGTAGGGAAATCTAGTTTTTATAACTTCAGCTTCCCAGAAGCAGAGATCTTATTTAGGCCTATGACTAGCAATTTTTTAAAAATGTTTTACCCTTAATTATGCGGTAGGAATAGCTATGTCAAGAACATGGTTTTCTCAAAACGTTACTTGAATTTCTTTCATGTCCCTAAGATTCAGTATTAAAAATGTATATCCTCTGGGTTTTAGTCTTTCATTTTATTTGAAGGGAATTCATGAATGTGGAGCTCCTAAATTTTAATTCTACAAATCTAAGCTTTTTTCCTGTTTACATTGACCTCAGGGTGTAGGAGGTGTAGCTGGGGTTTGGGCTGATAGACCGCCACTGGGACCTCATGAGTGTCTATGAACCAGGAAGCTGACTTTCACCAAATACTGAATCTGCTGGTGCCTTGATCTTGGACTTCCATGTCTCTCCATGGGACCATGGGACCATGTCTCTCCCAGTGGTCTTTGCTGTCTTTGCTCAGACACATGGCTGGCGAGGCTGGAGAGAAGTCCTGTGAGGAGAGGAGGCACCGCCCTTGTTAGTGCAACTGGCCTTGAAGGCTGGACCTAGAACACAGAAGGAAAATGGAGTATCTGTGTGTTTTTCCTCTGAATTCTTCTGCAGCAGCTGTTCTTCAAGCCAAGGCAAGTTCCCTACTTCTCATCTGCGTACCACACATCCAAGCACTCCTCCCACCAACCAGCAGCCTTTTCCTTTCCACCTACCCCCAGTCTTTTCTTCCAGGACAAATAAGGCTCCTCCTGCTTTTTGCAACATAAGGAGGCTCCATTCCAACCACCCTCTTCCCAGGAGACTTCCTCTTCTAGCCCATAAAGTAGTGTAAAGGGAAGCGTTTCTCATTCAGAAGAGAAATCCTGCAGTTTAACCAGTAGCAGGGTGACCCCCTAGCGACCTCCCATCCCCCTCCCCCCCATTAAGAAGAAGTTACAAATGCAGGATTTCAAGAAGCTGGTGCTTACAGTCGTTACCTGCCCACATGTAACATCATTCTTCTCTGCCCCTTCCAGCCTCTCGAAATGGCCAGAACAGCGTTCTAAAACATGACACAGGCTTGTCCTATAAATAGGGTCCAGATGTAAAGAGTTCCTACCCAACATTTAGTCAAAAGAAAAAGAATGGCTATGTCTGAGTCCATTTGGGGCTGCTGTTGCCATGTATGCCATGAACCGGGTGGCTTATAAGCAACAGACATTTATTTCTCTCAGTTCTGGAGGCTGGAAGTGCAAGGTCATGGCACCAGCAGATTCAGTGTCTGGTGAAAGTCAGCCTCCTGGTCCAGAGGTGCTCATCTTTTCTCTGTGTCCTCACCTGGGGGAAGGGGCGAGGGAGCTTTCTGGGGTCTCCTTCTATAAAGACACTAATCCCATTCATAAGGGCTCTGACCTCATTACCAGGTAACCTCCCAAAGGCCCCATCTCCTAATGCTATCTCCTTGGGGGTTCGAATTTCATCATATGAATGGGGGGAGGGACACAAATATTCAGTTCAGTGCAATATATATGTATGCACACAGATGTATAGATTTGGGGTGTTATGTTTTGTTAGCGTGACATTTAAGGCATATGTGTTTCCGTCTGGAGTTTCTTCCCCTTAGTAATGATACATTTCACACTCATATTGTTACTTAGTGCTGAGAGATGTTAGTTCCTCTGTCTTTGTTTCCTGTTTTACTCCTCGTATTAGCGAAGCAGCGACACACTTTTACGTGGACCTCTGACAGTTGAGGAAAGAAACCTGGAATCGCCTCATTCATTTACACTTCCACGCGGTGGGCGTTTATTGAGGATCTATGGCATGTCGGCCACATGGAGGGTTTCAACCCAGTCTTGTCACCCTGTTCTCACTCTACTCACCAGGCCTCCTCACTTCTCTCTGCAGGCACCACAGTGAGCAGAGCAAACAGCTGCCAGTCTGACAGCAGCGGGTTCCTGGAGGAGCCACCGGACCCGCCAGCCCCGCAGGTAGGGGTCGTGTGGGGGCTGGGAGAGGGTTGGAGGACGTACGAGGTTGAAATGTGCTGCCGCAATTGGGAAAGGCACCCAATGCTTAGAACACATGAGCCACAGGCACCCAAGGGAGAGAGGACATTAAATGAGGAGCCAGAAAGCTCAGCATCCCTTTCCCTTTTAGTTTCTTTTGATTTTACTAAACAAAGAAGCTGAGCCTCATGCGAAGAAGGTCCCAGTTAAAGTAGGAAACTGAGGAAAACTGAGTGTGTAACCCTTATCTCCTGACTCAATGGTAACGATAAGGAAAAAAAGAAAGCACTTCTTACACCTAGCACCTCCCCCCTTCCTGACTCCTTTCCCTTTATCCTGGTTTCTTCCACAGATGTCCTCCTTGCCTGGAGGCCCAAGTCCTGCTGAGAATGGAAGTAGAAAGCCCAGGGGTCAGGGCCAGCACTCAGGGGCACTCCAGGACTGCCAGCCAGAGGCAGGCGAGTCTGACTCCAAGAGTGTGGTGAGCACAGCTTCTTCTGGTCAAGACTGGAGTGTCTTAGAGGACAAGTCTTCAACAGCTGTGGTGGAGAAAGAGTCTCAGCTCAAGGCCACGGGGGGACCACCAGAATGGTTGGCCTCAGATATGGCCCTGGACGTGGCCAGCACTGGGGGAGAACACCCCAGGAAAGACAGCCATCAGAGGCAGCCCCCGCCCGTGCCCCACACCCAGCGTGAGGCCAGTGTCGGCACGCCGGCCTCCAGACGTGACCATCCTCTGGAGTTTATGGTGACCCACCTCACAGAAGGGAAGGATGGGTTCCTGAGGCCGGAGGGAGCCGGGGGCCTGTGCGTGCAGAGCCTCCACTGTGAGCCTCAGAGATTACCTGGAGTGGGTCACCCTCAAGACAAGTTCCTTCCTGTTGACTCTGAGGCCCCAAGAGAAGCAGAAAGCCATCAACTCTGCCCTGACATCAACAGCACCTCCCTGACTCAGCATGTCCCCAAGCCCGGCGAGGCCACGCCCCATACAGCTGACCTTATTCAAACATCTGAGAAGTCCGTTCCCCACCCTGATAAGCTGTCTGGAGGTACCTCTCCCCAAATGAAGCCAAGGTGTAGAGCTTGGGGTCACATACCACTCAGGGCAGAATCTGAGATGGGAACCCTTCCTTCAAATGCTGACTCAAGCGCTGTCAGCTCCGAGTCTGTGACAACCCAGATGTCCTGCAGCCTGGTGTCAGCTGCTCAGAATGCTGTGGCCTTGGGGACTGATTCTAGAAGAACAACTTTAGAATGCACTGTGTGTGACCCTGTTAGCACAGCAGAGCCTGTGCTGGGGGCCGAAGCCAGGCAGTTCAGTGATATCTCTGTTCAGACTTATCTGTGTGAGCCCAGGTCTTGGCATCGCTGTTCAGCTCCAGGAAACGAGGCCCGGCCCCTCACCAAATCTGTCTCTCTAGACACGGGCTTCCCTAGGCCCTGCCCAGAGGACATCTGCCATGCTGCACCTGCCCCCTGCTGTGACTGCTGTCATCGCCATCCCCACCGCCACTCGGCCTGCGGGCATGGCCTGTGCTGGCACGGTCACCCAGAAGCCCAGTTCATGAAGACTGCGGTGCGGGAGCTGTGCTCTGTAAGTATTCACCCCTGCAGGTCGGGGAGACAGGCAAGGCCACACACACCCCTCAGGGATGCCAACTGGCCTCCCTTTCTGAATGCAGGCTCAGGGCACACCTTCTTGTTGCGGACCAGGAGTAGTGTTTGCAGAGTGCTGTATGATTTATGGTATCTTATCACAAATCTCTCCTTATGTCATACTTCGCATTACCTTGTGAAGTACAGAAGGCCACCTTTCTTATTAATTCCCATTTTACAGAGGGCTGTGGTACTCTGCATGAATTCGCGTGTAAGGTTATAAGTACGAGTGCATCTGAACGCCATCTTCCGTTCAGCCTAAGGAACCAGTTCTCTGCCTTACATCCGCGTAGCTGTATAATCTTGCACGAGCCCTTCAGTCTCTCTGAGCCTATTTGGAGTCGCCCCAACTGTGTTGAGATATCTGGCCACTGGAAATAGACGTTCCTCCTGATTGGAGTCTATGACGTATCGCACTTCTGCGGAAAATACAGGGGTTTGCAGCCCATTGTCAGACTTGCATATAGTTTTTAAATGAACAGGAGTTTGGATGAGTGTGCCTGTCACCATCTCATGTCTTCCGGCACCTCATCTCACGTTGACTCAGCCTTCTCTCCTCTTAGAATTTGCAATTATACAAAAAAATGGTACTTTTATATCAAATTGATTTGGCATTATACACCTGCTGAAATGCATACTACATGGGTCTTACTAGAGACAATGCATTTATTTCTCTTAATTTAAATCCAAGGAACCACAAACACACACTCAAAGGAAACAATCAAAACACACCTACCTGTGCATATCTGTACTCCTGTGCAGGTGTACACACACTCACACAGAGAGAAAGAGAAAAGCAAGTGAAACTAATGTATTTCAGTCACCCATAAGAAGAGGCTACTTAAATAAACTAAGGAACAAACTCAAGAACAAAGAGACAAAACATCTACAGTGAGCGAGCCTGGGTGTGTAAGGCCTAAAAAATATCCTGGAGAAAAATGGCTCTAAGTTAGATGCTAGGTGCTACCTAGGGGAAGGAAAATTAATGATCATTGAAGAAGTTATCTAGAACATAGGTCTTGAACCAAGTGGAAATTATAGGCAGTGACAGATACCATCTCTTACATGACAATGGGAGTTCCAAACAGGTGTGGCAATTAAGAGCATTGCAGGTTAAAAGCTCAGAAGAACACCCCGCTGCCCCCTTTACATAGCAGGATGTAATAGTGCAGGGAGACACTAGGCTGGTGAATGCCATCTGTGTGGTCTTGTGCGTTACCTAAGACAATGGTTTACCGACATAATTAAATTATTATATAGAAGTGAATTCTTCACAATGATTTGTTAATTTTTTGAAGATTTTTCAGAAAAGGAAATAAGATGTATCAGAAATTAGATTTTTGGATATTAGGAAATTCTTTTTTAATGTTCATGACTTAGATTTAAAGAAAGAGAAAAGCATACACCATTTAAAAGGTAATATGAGCCATTTCAAAAGTTTATTGCTGTTTGGTGATGCTGTATTATATATACCCAGATCTTATATTGCAAAAAAGAGTTCAAAACAGTCCCTCCCCCTTTTTATTTTATTTTATTTTTTGTTTAAGGTTTCCTTTTTTCTGCAACTACTTCAATACTTGTTCTAGAGCCAAAATGTATATTTAGTGTTTCCAAATGACCAGAAGATGGCAGTGTTTCAGAATTTTCCATGTCATTCCCTACAAAGGGAACCATAGGCCATCTATCCCAGCCCTTATACCTTCCAATCACAAAAACTCAAAAAACTAGATGAAATCTAAAAGTCAATGATTACAATGTACAGCCTACTTGAGTGCCATATTTCCATGTCCCTGGCCTCACTGTCCATAGAATGTGGTCACCTTATAGGAACCTAGTGGTACTACTCATCAGCTCACTCTCAGGGGACAAATAACTTCTCCATGTGGCCAGCCATACTGTAGTCCCCACTGTGACTCAGAACAGAAATGAACTGGAAGGCTTGGCTTTGAAATCTGACTGTCGTTTTTTGACCTTGGACATGTTAGCCATTCTGTCACGATACTCGATCTCTAAAAGTCCTTCATGATTTCTAAGACCTTTTCTGATTTGAAGAGCCACAATTGTAGTCACCTTTCAACACTTGCCAACACCAGGGATGCTTCAAACACTCCTCTCACTGATTCCAATGCACTCACACTGAAGCAAAAGTAACTAGGGAGCTTGCTACACAAAATAGGTTATTTGGCATAACATTTAGAAGATAAAAAAAAGAATGAAAACCCAACTCTCCATGCAAAATGATGGAGAGTTTTCAAAATAAAAATATCACTCTTAGGAAAATATTTTCATTGTGACAATTCTGATAAGAAAAAAGAAATAGCCATCGGGCTGCCAGCATCTTGGCCATGTGGTTTTGAGGAGAAGGTAAGAATCTGGGACTTCTCAGAAGCAGGTCTGGGAGGAAGTAGCAGAGCTGTAAGGCAGGTTTCCATGGAAGAAAGAAGAAAAGGTTAAAAGACACCTGCCTGAGAAATCAGTTTCTTTAAAGAGCTTCCCAGAATCCCAGCTCCATGCTCTCCACTTCCACCTCATTGCTATCTACATGCCAGGAATGCTGAGAAACGGAGTTTCTTACTTAGACACATTGCTGCCCCTAAGCTATTGGAATTTGCTAGTAAGAATAAAGGGGAGAAAGATAGTGAGTAGGCAACTAGCAGCCACTGCCATGCCTATCAGGAAGGGGGTCCAAACCCATGGCCTGGTGGAGAGAGCATTAGGCTCCAACTAGCATTTGCATCACTCAAAGTCAGATGGGTAGGGATGCTGAGGTTTTAGGTTATGGACCCATTCAAAGCAGGGTCCAACCTGGGCTGGAAAACAAGAGATAGCCGGTAAGAACTCAGCACATCAGCAGAATCCCTGTCAAATGAACTGGGCTCGGTGGCTCTAAGAAGATAATTAAGAAAGGACACCAAGGCAGAAGCACAGACATGCAGAGAAAGAAGATGTAGAGGATGATTCCCATCAGGAGTGATGGGGAGCAGGATTGGGGGGACAGTCCAATCCTAGATTCCACTTCGTGGGGGGATGGGATGCCCACCTGTGCCTGCCTCGTTGTGGATGGCCTTCTTAGCTGCCTGGAAATGGTCCTCCGATTTCAATCATCAGGGACTATGGTGAAGCCAAGCTAAGACTAACAAAAATTTTCTTAGAAGACTCTCTAATTAAACATAACCATCTGAACAGATGTGTTCAATGTTATAGAGACTTAGAGTGAGGCAGTACTCAGCAACAAAGTGAAATGAGAAAGACTCCACTTTTCTAAATGCAAGCCATATTCTAGCCCTCTGCCCTCCTCTCCTCCATCTACCACATGGATGAGGAACGTCTGGCCCATGGGCCATATAAGGCCCAAGAAATCATTTGGTCTGGCCCTGCCAAGGCGTTAGGGGTGAGTTCATTAAACGTTTGAGCAAATGCAGCAGGCTAATTTTTAAGTTGATAATTTTGTATGGCCCGCGAATGATGTTATAAATATCCAAATGGCCCTTGGCAGACAAAAGGTTCCCCACCCCTGCTCTACACTCTCCCATCCCGGTATCAGCTAGTCCTCCAGACTGTCTTCCCAGCTCCAGGACAGAATGTCTCCAGGGCCATCCAACAGCTTCTACCCTCCTGTCCCAGCCAAGCACTGCCTCCAGCTGCTGGGAGAAGCCCAAGGCCGGCCTTTCCCTCTTCTCTTCCCCACACATTAGCAGTGGGGCAAAGCGGTGAACCCGGTGGGATGGCGGGCCCCACCCTGGCACCTCCTGCGGTGAATCAGGACTCCCTCCTGAGCTCTCTGCTGGTTCTCAGTACACAGCCCTGGAGATGGAAGCAATGAGGACGCTCTGCCAGTGTTTCCGGGAGCACTTGGAGGAAATGGAAAAGCACCTCACAGGGCAGCAGGCCCTCTTTTCCAGGGACATGTCCGAAGAGGAGAGGTAATTATCTGAGGGAGCCATAAGAGTAAGTACCAACCCCACACCTGAAGCAGAAAGTTGATCAGGGCAGGACAGATGAGCGCCCCGGAGCGGGGCTACTGAGAAACTGGCCAGCTTCTCCTGGCTCTCATGCTTTTCTTCTCCTTTTCTAAGTGGGAGTCTGTGAGAGCGATTTGCCAGACAGCAATGCTTACCCTTGATGGCCATGGCTCTCTGAGGTCAGAATGCGGGCAGCAGCTGGGAAGAGGGGGCTAGCCAGTAGGACATCTTTAATCAATGCCAGTGGGACTTGTGTAAATGCAGATGTCGTAGTTTTGGGGGTTTTGAAAACCTGCATTATTTTCACATAGATTAAAAGTATGTGATCCAAAAGTAGATGAGTAGTTGCCTGAAGCTGAGGGACTAGGGATTAGCGGTACAAGGTCATGACGGTTCTTATTGGAAGATGCACATATCCCAAAACTGGATGTTGCCAGTTACACAGCTTAGCAAATTCCCTACAAATCATTGAATTGTACTCTTAACATAGGTAAACTTCATGGCAGGTAAATTATCCTGCAGTGGAGTTATTTATAAGAAAACCTGCCCTAGGAATGTGCCCGTGTCTGCAACTGATACAAATGAAGAAGGTGACATTCTCCTGTAAGAAATAGCAAAGGCATGACCTACATTTTGGGAGGAGCAGTGGGAGATGGTCCTTGGATGGGGGTGGCTGTGGAATTTGGTTTTCTATTATGTGCCTACAGGAAGGAGGCCAAGCAACTGCAGACTTTACGCAAGGCCCTGCAGCAGCAGGTGGAGGAGCTGGAGCTGCAGTTAGGAGACCGGGCTCAGCAAATCAGACAAGGGATCATGTTGGTACGGCACGCGGGGGTGTGGGGCTGGACTGTATCCTGCCCCTGTAGGAGGGTGTGTTCGGTGAGAAACCTGAGTGTGCAGTCATTTCCGACTCCTGAGTTATGTGCCAGCACCTTCATTTTCAATATAAAGACATTGCCATCCAGGAAAGTACATTGCTCTGCTCAAGGCCAAGTGGCTGGTGAGGGTGACTCAGGATGAGAGCTCGGGGCCCCTGACTCCCATGCCAGTCTTTCTCTCTGCCCTGTAAATTCCAGACAAGTATTATTCGCCCATTTTCCAAATGAGAACAAGAAACACAACTTTGGACCGAACACGGGCTGAGTCCCCGCCAGAATCTGCTGCTGGCCAAGCCCACGCTAGAGAATTCACCTCCTACAAATGCCTTCCCACAGTCTAAGTTAGGTGTTTGGTGTAAATAAGGTACATTGTCCACTCTTTCTGTCTCTGTTTTTCTTTTAGCAGCTTGATCTTCTCACAGGAGAACAACCTGCATACGATACAAACCCGCACCCTTATGACTGGACAGAAGAAAAGAATGGCCAGATTTCACACACCCACATCCACCCAGCCATGGCCCCTGGGGCTGCCTTTCCTCCGGACGATGGCCAGCAGGCTCCCTGCTCAGGTAGGACCCATCTGGCTGCCTTCCTCTCCCACCCCACCTAGGAGAGCCGCCCTGGCATATCTCCTCCAGCCCAGGAAGAGTAGGTCCAGCCCCTTGGTCAAACTGTCCTGCTGGAGAGAAGGACACCAATGTCTCCCTGTAGATCAGAGTGTGTTTGATGGCCCTCCTGCAAAATGTAAGAGCACATTCTAGCCAGAGCAAGCCTCTCTCAACTTTCCCAGAGGAGAAGTATCTGTCAGCCTTTCATGGGCTGTTTTTTTTTTTATTTTTAAACATTCCACTCGATGGCTAAACCCAGGAGGAACTCAGAATCTTTTAATTTCCATTCAATACAGAATAAGTGAGCACCTACTATGTGCCTGGCATAGGTAATCTGTGCTGGCCAACATGTATACAGTAAGTCCTCACTTAACATCATCAATAGGTTCTGGGACTTTAAGCAAAATGTCATATAATGAAACCAATTTCACCATAGGCTCTTTGGATAATAAGAGTTAAGATCCTATGGCATTTAATCAACATCTTTATTGAAATATAGAGAACTGCTTTGCTTTGTAAAAAACAATGTTATGCCCTGGGATTTCTCTTCATTATGCTCAAAGTGAGACACATCTACATCTGTCTATGAAAAGTCACAGTCCACTACATCAGATAACATTCTCTTTATAAAGACACATGTTAAGGACTTAATTATGTCTACTGCCACCCGCCCCCCCAAATTCATATCCTGAAGCTCTAGCCCCCATGTACCGTAATGGCATTGGGAGCTAGGGTGTTTAAGGAGATAATTAAGGTTAAATGTAGTCACAAAGGTGGGACCCTAATCCAACAAGACAAGTGTCTTTATACAAAGAAGGAGGCACACCAGCGAGCCCTCTCTTCCCATTTCCACAGGGGAAAGGCCATGCGAAGACCCAGAGGAAAGGCAGCCGTCTACAAGCCAGGAAGAGAGTCCTCAGCAGAAACCAGCCCTGCTGGCACCTTGATCTTGGACTTCTGGCCTCTAGAACTCTGAACAAGTGAACCTCTGTTGTCTGAGCCACCTGGTTGGTGATGTTCTATGATGGCAGCCCAGATTTCAGTTCCGAGAAGCGGGGTGCTGCTGTAACAAATGACCTAAAAACATGAGAGTGGCTCTGGAGCTGGGCAAAGGGTTGGGGCTGGAAGAGTTTTGGGGTGCCTATCTCTTCAGAACAAGCTTTCCCTGTCTTTGCTGGGTGGTGGTCTATCCTGTTCAGTTCTCAGTGCCTCGGTATGTTGCTTATGATGAAGTCCTATGCATCATAGGTCACAATGGGTCCAATCCTTTATATACAGATTGAAAGGATCCCTTTCTCTTGCTAGCTCCTTTCTGTGAATCCCCCCCGCCCCCACCTTCTCTGACTCCCACGAGTTCCTTTTCCTGGCTCTGCCTACAGAACCCTGGTTTTAGCATCCATGCACGATAATGAACTTCCTGAAACTGGGTCTACCTCAGGGAAAAGCAGCAAAACAAGAGCCTGCCGATTCCCCATTGCTGGAGTTGCTTCACCCGAGGCCACCTCCACGGCTGCTGCCATTGCCACTGCCATGGGGATGCCATTTCCTTGGGCATGCTGAACGTAGGGCTTAGAGGGGAGAGATCTCTTTTCCCATCAGCTCCTTCCCCAACCCTCTAGCCCAAGAGAGAGGATTTTTCTTGAGTTTTTCCTTTTCTGTTTCACAGTTTCAGGAATCTAAGCCAGAAAATAGGGGAGGAAAGAAACTCATCTCCAGGAGCTAGTTCTTTGAGTTTTTTATTCTCTTCCCCAGTTGACTTGCTATTACACACTTTTAAGAGTCTTCAGGTAGTTGCTCTGCATATACTGAATAGGACTTTTCATTATAATCAGTGGGAAAGAGAGGAGCATTTACTCTATCTTAATCAGAACTGAAATTTGCCAACCTAAAGTGATATAAATATTCGTATTATCATAAAAGATGCTCAATGTAAGTCAGATAGAAGAACAACAAACATGGTAAAAATCATTATCCCCATTTTAAAGATGAGGAATCAGAGACTTGCAGGGACTAAGTGGCTTGCTCAATGTCACACAACTGGAAAACCAGGTCTGAGCCCAGGCTGGCCTGACTGCAGCACCACCACCCCAGCTCTGCCACGTGCCCAAGTGGGGCGAGAGGTATAGACGCTCGGATTACATGTGAGGATCAGGCAGTCGTCCTCTCTGAGGCCTGTGCTTTCCTAGCTTTCAGCTTCGATTAGGTCAAGTTGAAAGATGTGCTTATGCACAGGGCAGGTTGGGATTTAATATCGCTTTGTGTTGGTTATTGGGCAGGTGTTTGTTTAAAGAAAGTGGAAACAGGTGTGTGGGCCCTGATTCAATTACATGATGGAGGGGAACACACTGATCCATGGCCATTTTCAAGGAGAGATGCTGATTGTGCTAATTAATCATTTGTCTGTCAGGACATAATAGAAACTGATGTTCCAGTTACCATTGGAATGGAACACAGACTCACGTGTCTGGCTCCCCAGCAACCAGATGCAACTGTTTATGATGACAGCAATGAAGATGCAGTACCTGAATCCTCCTGGATTACCAGGTTTGAGATGATTTGAAGGAAAGGTGTTTTATAAACTCGTGCCAACAGCACGGGACATCATCCAACCGGAATTGTCTCTCAAAGGAACTTTTCCCTTCAAAGAGATTTATTGAGACCTTTTAGGTCAGGATGGCATCCATCCCAGAGATGGGGCTGAATGGAGTACTTTCCCACGCTGTGTGGCACAGCACTCAATTCACCTCACCTAACCAAGACATCTATGCTCAGAATGGAATGTCATCATAATTCTGAGTGGTCTTTTAAAAGCATAAATCAGATACTTTGCTCTCCCACATAAGAATCTCCAGTGACTTTTCAGTACATTTATAATTAAATCCCGACTCTCTACCAAGATCTACAAAGCTCTACACAACCCCACCCTGCATCCCTCTGTGACCTCATATCATACTGCTCTCTCCCTCTCTGTCTCTCTCTTACTGTGATTCAATTTCTTGGATCTTCTTGCTAATTCCTGGTCACCTTAGGTCATTTTTACTTCAGGAGCATTTTGGGTGCTGTTCCTTCTTTGCATTTGCTATTCCGCTTTCCCCAAATATTCAGAGGGCTGGGATCTTCTCATTCGGATTTCTGTTCAATGGCACCCCTTCAGAAAAGCTTCCCTTAACAACCCTATGCGAAATGGGGCTTCTTCCTGTACACATTTCTATTTATTTTCTGCCCACTTATCCGGCTTTGTTTTCTTCATAGCATTTATTATGTGGATTTTTATTGCTTTATTTGTTTACTTGTTCAGTGGCTGTTTCCCTTCCTAGAATGTAAACTTTATGGGGAAGAGACTTGTCTGTCATCATCTTTCCATATTTTATCCCCAGGCCTAAAACATAGAAGAATTTGATGAGTGAATGGACAAGAGAATTAATTCATTCATTCGTGAACATATCAACACTAATAAACATTGGGTATACGTAAATAAGACATAGTCTAATCCATCAAGGAATTTTCAGTTTGGGGAGGAAAACACACATAGCTAAGAATCTCTTCATGTTACTTCTTTGTTTATACCTTTCAGAAACTCCCCATCAATAGCAAGGTTTTTGAGTCTAGGATCATCAGTTTCACCAGGCAGTGGAGACATTGAAAAAAAATTATTAGGACAACATGGCAAGTCTTTAATAAAGTTAATTCAACCTAAGCAATAGTGTTCTCACTTTGCTTCAGAATTCACCTCCTTTTAAGTTAGAGGAGTTGTCTCTTGGTTGCAGGGAAGCCAGCCACCAAAGACCATGTATTTTATGGTCTCGCTGATATAAAATGTCCAGAATAATCAAATTTGTAGAGACAGAACATAGACTGGCGTTTGTCTAGGGCTAGACAATGAAGCAAGGGAATGGACATGACTGCTAATTATGGTACAAGATTTCTTTTGGGGGTGATGAAAATATCCGGAAATTAGATTATGGTGATGATTACACAATACTGAACATACACTAACAACCATTACATTGTTCACTTTCATTACAGTGTATGTAAATTATGTCTCAGCAAAGTGCTGAAAACAAATAAGGCAAGCGAGCACACACCTGAGTCAGGTGTCTCCTGAGAGGAAAGGGCAAGTCCATCACCTGTATCTGCTGGGACTGAATTTGCCCAGAAAGAAGGTGCGGGTGGAGCCAGCGGAGGAAGGAGGAAGTAGGGACCAGGTCCGGTAGGGGCTCTAGCCATGGCTGAGATTTGGATTTTATTTTGAATGTAGTGAGAAGCCATTGAAGGGTTTGAAGTTGGACAGTGACAGGATGTGGTGCATATTAACATCTTATAAGAATGCCTTGTATGTGGTTGACTCCAGGCACAAAAGGATGCAGTGAGACCTACTATAGTAATATGGGCAGCACTCAAACTGTAATAGATTTATTTTATTCTCTTTCCTCTTCTTTTCATCATAAACAAAAAGCAAGGTCACTTTATATTTAGCAGAAAACTCCTCATGAATTGTCCCAGAAAAAGACACTAGCCAAAATATCCGAACCCCTATTAACCTTTAGTACCTTAAACAAGCCGTACATCACTGGTCACAAGAGAACAATCTATTAATAATGAAAAATGTAGACTACTCTTATGTAATTGGTCCTTATAGAAATGGTATTATCCTAATTTAGCATCAAAACCTGCTTTTCATTCTAAATAGCACTATCAGAGTAAAGCACAGGCCACATATTTGTCTATCAACTCTATACCAATTTCCTGGCTCACAGCAGCCAATGGTTTTCCTACATCACAAACCAACTACAGTCTTCAGTGCTATATTTGGAAAGGAAACAATAAGGCATCTGTAGAAAAACAGCATTTGCATTAGACCCCGCTTCTTGTCTAAGGGTTATTTTCACTGAGCAATCTCAAGTGGGCGGCAAAGAATAGACAGGCTTTGTTAGACCATTACTCATGTAATGAGATTTGAGGTCCGCTATTCAACACATTTTTCAATGGGCACTTTCCCCAGGGCTGAATTGCTGCCTACAGACAGTTTGATTATCAAATACAATTTTAAAATAAAAGAGTACAAAATGCCCCTTCTCTTCTCTGGCCCCCACCCTTCAGAGCTTGTCAGTTTATCTCATAGAGGAAGTTTGCTCAGCCAGGGACTACCTCAGCTTTGGAATGCCTGACTCCTGTAGCCATCCTCCCTCCTGTGACAGGTCCCACGCTATTACTCCAGTTGACCCAGGTATTTCTGTCAGGAGCCAGTTGACCTTGAAGTATGAGTGATTTGACACCTTGTCTTTCAGTCAGTTCCAAACATTCATACACCACATGCCCACTTCTCCATGAAGTTGAGCCAGACCCATTGGGGATTGTAATGATCCTTCAAGAGCCTGTTTATCAATTAATACCTGCTCCTGCTTTGGCCCAATTTTCTTCCAGGTTCTTTCCTTTATGATCCTGCACATCTGACTGTGACCTCTGTTTTGCCTCTCATTTCTCTAACTGGTCACTATTGACCGTTAGAGTTTGGATTCTAGAGAAACCATGCTGCCCTTTAAGAAAGACTACAGGTAACTAGAACTTCAGGCCCAAGCCTTGTGGTTTTTGTGGCTTCTCTTGCTTGTTCTCATTGTTAGGATCTGCAGTTTTCTGCATCTTAACTGGTAGCAGAAGCTGCTCCCCATCTGTGGATGTAATGAATACATATTGAAGGTTCATGGTGCTATCGCCTCTTACTAGATGTTCTCACGCATGATTTTCAAAGTTCCACTGAGTCACCAAATATAGATTTTTGTCTAAGTTGATCCAGGAGGTTCCTATTTGACAAAATTAAACCTGATTTTATCATTAACAGGAATTTGAGGGGTGGGTATATGAGGTAAAGGAAAAGGGAAGAGGGTGAGTAGGTGTCTACTATAAACCAGGCACTGTGTCACATACCTTTATGCTATTATCTCTTTTAAAACTCATCACAACTTTGTAAGACAGATATTACTATCTTCCTGTTACAGGTGGGAAAATGGGGTCTCAGAGATTAAATCGTCTGTGGTCTCCCAGACTGTAACTAGATATGATAGCATCTAAGCCCAATTCTCTATGCTTTCAAATCATATGCTTTCTTTCTTAGTATAGTATACGCTTGAGACAAGAATGTATGTGGGGAACAGGGAGGAAATTATGTAGGCAGAGAGGAGAGGTAAGATGGGATCAGATCAAGTGAGTTTTGATTGAAGGTGTAGGTAGATGCTTGAAATTGACCTCAAGGGCAATTGCTATCAATTCAGGTTCCTGGATTGTGATGGGAATTTAAGAGAAGTCTTTCTGGAAACACTGACGGACATAAAGGCTAGCTGACTTATTCTCCCTACAGTGTGCCCCCCAAATGCAAACCCAAATGAGCGTGCAATCTAGCAATAACCGTGCACTTGCTTTGCAAATGCAGCTTACAGGCTGATCCTCTCACCTTTCCTTCAGGCCAGAGGTCACCAGAGCTGCTACTGGGTAGGAATTCTAGAGCTTCCCCGTCGGGCCAGTGTGTGCTGGACAGACCAGAGGAGAGGCCAGAGCTCTGCAGCGGCCCTGGCCAGAACCTGGGAAGGAGTTTCTCACCGGCTTTATGAATGCAGTCATCTGTGGCGTGTAATTTCCTTGAAACCAAGGACAGAGTTATAGCCGCTATTTTACATACATGCTGGGTATGAAATTTGCTTTCACATATTCCTGAATTGTGTGTCATTTTTCATGTAGTCGAAACCAAAGAGGAAAAGTCCTAAAAGTTAAAGAAGATTTTTTCCACACCATAAAGACCTTAGTCAGTACTTTTCCTTGTGCTCATAGAGAGTTAATGAACTTATTAATATTTTTGTAGCACAATTCAAACATGATAACCCCTCACTTAACTACCTTTGAGCAGCAGAAGCTTTAAACTGCGTTGCACATTCCTGAAAACTCCGTGTGCCCTTTGGGGAAATAGATGTGCTTGCTTCCTCCATGTTTAGAGGCCCCCATAAACAGTGTGTGGAGGCTGCCACCATTTCCGTCTGGTAGTCCCCTCCTGGTTTCCTCCAACTACTTACAGGAGCACTCACAGTCACATTGACAAGCTTTGGTGATGCGGTGGGGATTAGGCTCAATGCCTTTATGTGCCGCCTCTCTGGTGGTGGAGAGTTCTCAGAATCCAGGCAGCTCTCAGATTTGGAAAATTGTAACAGCTTAGCTGGAAGGAAGCAAGCATGGGAAAGAGCAGTGCATTCCTTCTCCGCCGGCCTTTTTATCCTCGTGTGCTGTGAGAGGCCACAGGGACAGCGTGCCCTTGATGACTTAGGGCTGCATGGACAGCATCATTCCAGCATGCTTCTCATCTGTAGCGCACTGTCTTAATTGAGCGTCAGAGAAGCCATGGTAGAATTAATATTCAAGCAAACCTTTGGGTTAGTAACCGACTAGTAGCCACATGGCTCCCTTGCTGTCCTGCTGAGTGGTGATCACTCTTTTATACAATAGCCAGATGTCCAGCTCTGAAAGAATAAACTCAGCTTGGTTTTCGAGAGGGAGAAAATGATGGGTCAGATCTGTTCAAATGCAGGAGAACCGAAGAGCATGAGGCAGAGACCACCAGTGCAGAGACCACCAATGCAGGGACCACCATACCATAGAGTACTTCTCAGCAATAAAAAAGAATTACCTCTTGATATATGCAACAACCTGGATGAATCTCCAGAGAATTAAGCTGAGTGAAAAAGAAGCCAATAGAAAAGTTACATGGTATATAATTCCATTTATATGATAGTCTGGAAATGACAGCATTATAGGAGTAGAGGACAGATTAGTGGTCAGCAGGGGTTAAGATGGGGCAGAGAGAAGAGGAATAGAAGAGGGAGTGATTATAATAAAAAAAGACATGGGGGAGCCTCATGGAGGTGGAAGTAATCAGTATCTTGACTGTGGTGGTGGATACATGAAGCTACACGGGGGATAAAATTGTGTAGAACTTACACACAGATACACACACACACACACACACACACACGGGGAAAGATTGGAATAAGACAAGTGAACTGTAACTGTAACAATGTCACTACCTGGTTGTACTATAATCTTACAAAATGTCACTATTGGGGGAAACTGGGCATAATATAGAAGGGGTCTATCTCTCTGTATTATTTCTTATAATGGCATGTCAATCTCCACTAACCTAAAGTAAATTAATACTATTACCCCTTATTTCAGTAAGTATCTATTAAGTATTTGACAATTTCTGAATATTAAATTTGTTCTATAGCTTTATTTCAATTGGATGAAAATACAGATATCAGAATTTAGTACTAATGAACTCAGATAGTCTTCTGTTATGAAGGACTAAAATGTGGTTAAAGCTTCCCAACCAGAGACTTAGACACTTATTCACCAGAAGATACTGATCTGAAACAGTTACTTCTCTCTCAGGGCTTAAGGAGACAACCAAAGAGATCCAGCAAGATCTCTGGGATAAAACCTCCTGCAAACGTTTACTGTGTGTCTTCTCTCTCTCTCTCTCTCTCTCTCTCTCTCTCTCTCTCTATCCAAGGAGCTGGAGCCCCATCACCCACCTACACAGACACTGCCTTAGACTCATTTTAGAAGGCAGATATTTGAAGGGCACATTTTATCAGCTATTGACTAAAATAAATGGTCTGGAAATGTACATCACTGTGATCACTCTTGTTCATTAAGATGGAATATCTGAGACTAAAATAAAAGCATATTCATTTAAAGCGAGTTACCATTAGGCATCCATCGGCAATGCAGCCAGGAGCCATTCATTCAGCCACACATCTGAGGGCTCGTGGACCCACAAATCATGCCATGGACACATGGCTCCTCGCACTTATGCTGGGAGCACCGGAGGCCAGGGGTCTCTGACTTCCACACGGCACATATGTGGCTGTTACTGAGAGCTCTCCGAGGTATAGATTTACATTACCATCTGCCAGCGAGTTGCTGTTTACATCTGCCTGAAAGGTGGGGGGAGGGTTGGGCACAATCAATCAAAGTGCGCATAGAAGAAGACCCTGAAAAAAAACACCCGACAACAGCCTGAACTTGGGAGATGTGCACATGTCTATTCAAAGGGGAAATAAGGAATTCAGACTCTTCTCTCTTTGAAAAACTTCCTTTGAACTTGGGAAATTAAGTGACAAAAGAGCGTTTCAAAATTCCTCACACAGTTCAGCTTCTCTGAGGAGCCTCAGAAGGAATCTCAACATTATATGCCTTAAAAATAATTTAATGCTAAGTGGGGCTGATAAAAATCTAAAAATTTAACTCTACGAAAGGCTCTGTTAAGAGTTTGCAAAGTCAAGCTATAAACTGGGAGAAAACATTTGCAAACATATATTTCTGATAAAGAACTCGTATCTAGGATGTCTAAAGAAATTTGAAAACTCAACAGTGAAAAAAAGCAATCCAATAAGAAAACGGGTGAAAGACATGAAGAGACACACCGTTCACCGAAGGAACATACACATGGCACACAAGTATACGAAAACAGGTTCAACATCATCAGGCAACAGGGGAAGGCAAATGCGCCCCACAGCGAGACACCACCTCACACCGATGAGAATGACTTACAAAAACTGTAACAACACGGACTGCTGGCAACCAGGCGGAGAAGCTGGGTCCTTCATAAAAAGTTGGTGGGAACAGGAACCAGGAGCCACCCTGGGCAACAGTTTCTTACACAGTTAAACATGCGAGTGCCCTAAGAGCCAGCAATTGCACTCTGGGGCAATTATCCAGGGAAATGAATGCTCATGTTTACACTAAAGCCTGTACGTGAATTTTCATAGCAGCTTTATTTGTAGTCACCAAACACTAGGGACAGTCAGGTGTCCTAGAGCAAGCAGGTGGTTGAACTTTGGTGCAGACCATGGAATACTACTCAGCGACAAAAAGAAACAAGTTTTTAGCACATGAGATAAATTGGGTGAATCCCCAAGAATAATGCTGAGTAGGGGGGAAACACAAATCCAAAAGGATACCTCTGGATGCTGCCTTTTATATAACATTTTGAAAGGACAAACTTATAGAAATGGAAAACAGATTAGTGGCTGCCAGGGGTTAAGGAGTGGGAGGGGCAGGGAAAGGGAGGTCAGGGAGGGAGAGGGTGGGGGTGGCTATGCAAGGCCGCCATGAGGGATGTTGTGGTGATGTAGCTGTTTTGTATCTGACTGTATCAATATCAATATGCTGGTTGAGATAGTGTACTATAGGTTTGCAAGATGGTACCGTTGCTTAAAGGGCACAGGAGCGCTCTTTATTATTTCTTACAACTGCATGTGAAACGACAGTTATCTCGGAAAAGGTTTAATTTAAAAAGAATTGAAGAGTTTAGGAAGAAGGTGTATATTTCCCACTTGTGTTTGGAAATGAAGCTACTGTTAAGCCACTGGCCAGCCAGGCTGTTGATGAGAAGAGAGGAGTAGGCAGTTTGGCACAGAGCTGATTCCGGGAACTGGCCCTCAGCACCCGAGATCTCCGTCCTGTCCTAGGCAGAGCATTACCTTGTGGCGGCCTTTGTCTCTCTTTAAGGGTCCACTAAGGACCAAGACAAACTGGAGCCAACAGGGAAGCCCCTGCCTACCGATGGGTTACCATGGCCTCTGAAGAAATTCTAACCCCACGAGTCAACCTTGGGTGCGTGTATTAGGGTCCAGCCCTGCTATTTGGGAGGCTGGCAAACGGAAAGGAGGCATTGATCATTCAGTACCAGGGACTAGAGGTCACTGAAGCCCCTGAGAGGTGTCTCGGGTCCTGCCCTGTGTGCATCCTCGGGAAGGAAAGGAAGGTTGGGGAGCACCATTGGTGGGTGGCCTCTTGGCTGCCCTCAGGTGTCCCAAGCCCTTCTAGTCTGGGCGGATGCCTGCTGACCTCTCGGACTCATCACCCTGCTCTCGAGGCCCAGACCAGTGACTAGGAGCTGCTGAGCCTCCTATCAGCACAGGACATTCCCTCCAGTGAGTTTACCCCAGATGGGACCCTTCCTCTCCATCAGAGGGCAAGGCGCACCCCCACCCTTGCTTAAACACCCTTTGGTGTTTGGAATGCCCTCCACCCACCCTGGAGGGCATTCCTCAAATTGGAGCATTTGGGATCATTCCTTTGGAGGAGCACATTGTTCCTGGGCTCCACGCCCAACCCTTACGGTGAGGACTGCTTTCTTTGCTGGCGATTTCTCTCTGAAATGCCCTCTTTGGTGAACAAGACTGTGAAGTGGTTCTGGGCATGCATTCCAGCATTCGCTCACCCAGGTCCAACGCTAGCCCTCCCATTTCCTAGTGGGGAGACCTTGGGCAGAGGGCTGATGAGCTCTGTGCCCCAGCTTCCTCATCAGAGGAATGGGGATGATGGCAGCTGCTAATCTCACAGGCTGTGGTGAGGATTAAATGAGCCCACGGGGGTAAAGAATGCCCAGCACCTGGGAAGCCTTAGGTAAATGTCAGCGGTTGCTTCTGTCTGTCTTCTCCGAGATACCCCCTCCCAGGCCGCGGTGTGGGAGTGAAAGTGCTCTGAGTTTAAACTCAGGCCCATGTGAGGGTGAGAATGAGCTGGTGTGCCTTCAGGACTAGCCACTCAACCCCTCGGTGCCTCAATTTCCATATTTGCAAAGAAAACCTGCGATGTAGGGCTGTCCCAGGGATGAAAGGACCCGGCTGGTCGGCCTGGACTTGTCCAGCCTTGCACAAGAGGTACTCCCAGCACAACTGTGGGCGTTGTGCTGTTGTCAGGGGCAGTTATTTCCGTTGGGAACCGTGGCTGTGAGATGAGTCCTCTTTCCCGCTCCATCCCCCTTGCCCTGCGCCGGGAGAAAGGGAGCATCCCCATGGCAACAGCAGCAGCTGGTCCCTTGATAAGAGGAGCTGGAGCCGGGCAGCAGCAGCCACTGCAGGAGGAGCCACAGCCAGAGGCGGCCCAGCTTCGGGAGGAAGCGCGCCCTCCCTATCTGCACTTCGCATCCCTGTGCCTGCCCTGACAGGTAAGTGCTCTGGGTTTGCACTCTGAGAACTTTATGGGGAGAAAAACAAGTTTCCATAAGTTACGGTTTCTTTGTTGTTGCTGGGGCAACGAAGGCTAGAAAGTCGCTGGCCAGGTTGGGGGTGGGGGGGTGCTTTCTGGAGCGAGGCTAAACTGGGACTAAGTGGGGATCCGGAAAGTCACCACTTTCCCGTCATTTTCAAGGGCGGTGGAGTCCTGAGATCCGTGCGAACCAGGGTCCTTGCAATTTAAACTGTGAAGTTTCCAGATGAACAGTGGTGTGGCTGCAGGTTCACACAGCAGCGTGGGGAAGCTTACCGTTCAAGGCTGGGGAGAGTGAGCTTAGCAAAAATCCTCGCCCTGCCCTACTTCACGGAGAAGTCACCCCTCCAGAAATACTGCACATTTAGGTCTTCTAAATGAGCAAACTTGACTTTAATACGTGGTACTCTTCAACCTGAATTCAATCCTCAGGCTACAAAGAGAAATGACAAAGGATATAAATTTTACATGACCTGAGGGTCCTTTAACCCAGCTCCACGTTGGGCTGGGGACATTACCTTGTCACTTTTTATTCCTTCGAGTAAATCCAGGCCTGATGATCTGGTAAATTCTTAAGAATGTCCTTCGACTAAGCGGAGTGTCTGCTCGCTCCTTCCTGCACATCAGTATCTCCAGGCTCCTAAGGCCTTGCAGTTGGTGGTACCTTGCATTGTTCTGATCGCGTCATTAGCCTCATCTGGGCCAGAGACGGGAAGAGAAGATTCCACTCGTTCGTTCCGTTTAGACGTACCTGTTGTAATCACAAGGGGAGATTGACAGAGCAAAGAAGGCAACTGGCATTTCTTTTTTTTTTTTTAATGTATTTTACTTACTTTAATTTGCTTATTTTTCAGCACAATGCATCATAGTAAACAATTCAGATCAAGACATTGTTTATATAATTTATAACTTACCCATAATGCATCCATATTATTAAATAACATCATCTCTTATATTATTTTAAACATATAATTTGTTTATATATACACTAGAGGCCTTGTGCACAAAATTTGTGAATGGTGCCATCTGTCAATAAAGAGTGGACTACTGGCATCTAATAGTGACACTGCAGGGAGAGTGCGATAGCGCTCCCAGCACTTTTGGGGAAAGACAGGTGGAGTGTGATCACAATTCCCAGCACTCTAGAGGTTCAATATATAAAAATCAACTGGCATTTCTTAAAGTGCTAGTGTGCGTGCTGGGGTCTGGGCTGGGAGCTTCACACACATTATGCTGCTAACACTCTCGACCCTGGAGAAGGGCCACTATCTTGCCCATTTTACAGATGTAGAAACCAAGTTTCCAGGAGTACGTAGAACTTTCCCAGGTTCACCCAGCTAGAGAATTGCACAAGTAACCCAACATTTGTTTCCACTTCATATCACCTTCCAACACCAAATGCTTGCCATCAGTGAGGACTTTCTTGCCCGTGAATTAAATGATGTATGCTAACAACCAACTGAGAAATCTGCTCAGAGCTAAGAGAAAAGACGAAATGCCCAGACTAGCTTCTGACCTCCAACTGACTGGCCAATATTTTTTAGCTGCAGAAAGAGCACCTCTGTCTTCCTGAAGGAGTAACTCGCTCTGAGCTGGTGGAGGCAGGCTCCCCCACATGTGTCCTCATGCGGTGCTCTGGGTGC